TTTAAAACAAAATGAAACAAGACAAAAAGGGACAGACATATACTAAGAGTAAAAGGGTAAATATAGTTCATAATGTTGATAATAAAAAGAGAGAAAAGGTGGCTGCCCTAATATCAGCGCACTGGACTTTAAATGAAAACTGTCATGAAACAAAGAAAATATAACGATACAATTATGATGACAAATGATCAACTCAAAAGAAAGATGTAAACATTACAAATGTATATTCATCTACTGTACAAGCACCTAAATGTACAGAGCAAAGGCTGACAGATTTCAAGGGAGAAATAGCAATACAATAATGGTAAGAAACACGAATACTCCATTGTCTATATTAATTTTACTGACCAAAGTATTTTGTTCTAAGGTTAATATCTTTAAATGTTCTATAATTAAACTTAATTAAGAGAAAAGTGAAAGTTAAGCCTGTGACTGGGATCGTAATAATTTTCCCCATTTTTAAACAGTTTCTATGATGAGCAAAATGAGGTTATACAAATGCAAATCACATCAGTGACTAATCCGTGTTATTTGTTATTGGTAGCCTGTAAGCCTCTCTAACTAATGAGGCCCAAGAAAATTTGAGTATGTTGTCCTCTTATTTTTCTAGTCTAGATTGAAGGAGGAAGAGAAACTATTACCTTCCTAGTAAATAGGCATTTTCAAACGCAAACATTTTAAGCTTTGTTTAGTGTGACCATTTCTACTAGGAATCAGCCATGGTATCAACTGACTCTGCTTGCTCTGTGTGAGGCACTAGGCGCACATCCTATTGATTTATGGGAGTAGCTGATGACATCCAGAAGCTGGCTAGAGGATTAGGAGGACGGCACAGAGGTGTGCGCCCCTCCTAATTCTTGAATACTTATCCAGAAATGCTTGTCACTTGCTCTTTGTTTAATGGCTGCCTCAATCTAACTAGAAGTAATTTTAAATTACCAAGATTTTTTTTTTTTTTTTTTTTTTTTTTTGTGGAACTGAGGATTGAATTCGGGCCCTTGAGCTTGCCAGGCAAAAGCTTATTCTACTAAGCTATCTGTGAAATTGTAGGGCCAGCCAAATCTCAACAGATAAAAGCCCCTGCGAGCAGGTGCAAGGGTCAGGGTTTCTATCCCCTTGAGACTGGGTGTGGTGGTGTGCGCCTGTGATCTCAGCTCTTGGGAGGCTGTAAACAGGCGGATCACTAGGAGGCTGATCTAGTGGTAAGACCCTGAACACCCTATAGACCCTTCCCTAACATAAAATAAAAAGAAAGAAATTTTAATACTAAGGAACGACTAGAAGAACCATGAACAGGAATTTATTTGCCACATACACATATAAGAAAACTATTGTCATTTGTGACACTTTTGACCACATAAAAATATATTGTATATTATTGAAGAAATTATAGTACCCTTTCCTCCATATTTACCATAAGGGTTCAAAGATGAATCAGTTTTAATACATTATTCAATAAATAATACTCTTTAAACCAAAAGGATTTGAGTCTTTCATTATTTTCTCACATGTCAAGAAATCATTGTTTTTGATTTACTATGTGCATTCAGCTTTTTATCAGAATTTAATAATCCTAGTCAGAGTGGCTGGTTCTATCTGGAAATGTACCTTTGGGAAAATTGTTAGAAAATTAAGTTTCTAAATATTATTATTTTTTTTTTTAGCTTAGAGCTACATAACCCTGTCTCTGCAGAGTTGCCTTTGTGTGCCTGTCTTGATATGCATGTTGAGTCATGTGTATTCCTTACATTCATTTTAAGATTAACAGTGTAAAAATTGATTATTGGCTGTCACACACTGTAAAAATAACTGAAGAAATTATTATTTTAGCCTTAACTTCGTGAACCAAAAGCTTATCTTCTTTCCAACACATATATTTGAGAAACTCAAGAATATAATTGTTGAATCAATTATATGTTTATTCTTTAAGAGATTCTTAATTAAAATAATGGTCAAGCCGGAGGGAGTGCTGCATGTCTAACTCAGGCTATTTGGGCGGCTAAGCACAGAAGGACCAAAGTCTGAGCTTAGCCTCAGCAAATCAGTGACCTTCTGGGATCCTATCTCAAAATTAAAAAAATACAAAGGGGATGCAAATGTAGTTCAGAGTGAAAGGCTCCAGATTCAATCCCCAATAATGCTAACATCATCATCATCATCAACAATAGAAACAACAACAATAATGATGAAATGTGCTTTTTGTTTATTCCCTCCTTTCATACACATCACTAGAAAATAATACTTTCAAAGTAACATACTGATTAAATTTTTTCCCTAAATGTTCTGGATTACTTTTATCTTTTCTTCAATTAATGTTAGTATTAATAGCAGTACTGAAATGGAAACCTTTTCGCTCATTCTGATTTCTATGTTTTTAACCTCAACTGCAGCACCTAAACAAATTTTTGTAATTCC